TTAGTTCCAGTGAAGGGAACTCTTAAGGCATCAGCACACCAAGACATTTTGGACAATTTCATGCTCCCAACTTTGTGGGAGGAGTTTGGGGACGGCCCCTTCCTGTTCCAACATGACTGCGCACCAGTGCACAAAGCAAGGTCCATAAAGACACGGATGGGGGAGTTTGGGGTGGAGGAACGTGACTGGCCGCACAGAGTCCTGACCTCAACCCCGTAGAACACCTTTGGGATGAATTAGAGCGGAGACTGCGAGCCCCTCCCCCAACATCAGTACCTGACCTCACAAATGGTCCAACATTCCCATAGACACGCCCCTAAACCTTGTGGACGCCTTCCCAGAAGAGTTGTAGCTCTTATAGCGGCAAAGGGCAGAGCCAACCCAATACTGAACCCTACGGACTAAGACTGGGGGGCCATTAAAGTTCATGTGCGTGTAAAGGCGTCCCAATACTTTTGGCAATATAGTGTGTGTGCAAGAAACGCTGAGGGTTTATTAACCCTTAACGGGAAATCTCTCTAAAAGGTCAAAGCATCCCTGACTGAGATTTTCATCACTTCACACTCTAATAAAAATGATATAAAATATATATATCAAAGAATGATCATCTTTTCAATGAAAAAAGGAACCGAACTCTGCAGGAATAACTTCAATAAGGAATAACAATGTACTAAGGTGCACAATAAAAGTTGCTTTTCTGTGGCTCAGATATCTCAGATGAGCAGCTTTTGTTGTTGTAGGCTAGTAAATGTATTACGAGATTTTAATCTTTATGAAAGTATCTCCTGCACCGCCGATCGCTGCGCTCCTATTGCCGATTTCTTCCTTCGTATAGAATACGGGCCGTTGGTTCCGGGCCATTTCTAGAGAGCTGCAAAGATGGCGGCGAGGCATGAAGTGGATTTGATTATCCTTAGGACATACAGTATATTCTACCACCCGGACTGTCATTGATAACCCAAGGTTTGGATTGTCTTTGCGCCTTACTGTACTTCGGATCGTCATTGCCCGTTAAATATATGATATGTATACAGGGGCGTAACTAGAAATCACAGGGCCCCATAGCAAAACTTTGTATGGGGCCCTGTGATTTCTAGTTATACCCCTTGCAGAGCCCACTCGAGATCCCACCTGAGGGTGAACCGGCAGAGCCCACCATATACTCTCTATGGGCTCTGCAGTGTCACCCTCGGGTGGGCTGGTCGCACTCCTTACCTGTCCGCCTCCTCTTCCTCCACGGTCGCTGATGGGCTCTGCCTCCTCCGTCGCCGGGCCCGCCTCCTTCTTTATCACCGGGCCCCGCCTCCTCCCCTGCTGCTGACCACGGGCCCCGCCTCCTCCACTGCCGGTTCCATCCTGCTCTACCCCTGCTGCTGGCTCTCATTGACTCTGTGGAGACAAACGCGCTGCTGCACAGATTACTGTCAGTGATCTGAACAGCGTCGTGTTCGTCTTTAGCCGCCAGTGAAAGCCACCAGCAGCAGAGGATCCCATAGCGACCCACACGGCATCTGGCCGGCCCCCTTGTGCCCCCGGGCCCCATAGCGGCCGCCTGATATGTATGTATAATGTAAAAGCAATATATAAATTGCTTACCTATCATTATTGCAATATATATAAAACTTACTAGATAGCGGCAGTGTACCTTGCCCTGAACCTTGACCTCTTGAGATAATATCCGTCAGTACATCGTGTTATGTGAGAGAAGGCGGATTTACTAAAGGAACTGAGAATGTTCAAATCATAAATTGCTGAAACATTTACCTGGTAATGTAATAATAAGTAAACAGGGATTTTCTTTTCCTATGACTGGATATGAGAAATGAATTTATGGTGTGGACATTCCAGCACAAGTAGAGAATTGCACAGACAGGTATGCAGACTCTTTATTAGTCCATTGAGGTTATTAAAGAAGTAAGCTTTCCGGGTTTATATACCATTCTGAAGATGGATCTGAAACCCTCATATCTGTATACAATGTTACAAGGTGAAGCAATGACATCGATACTTTGAAAACCCAACTGTTGTGTGTTTGGAATATTTATATATCATTGTTTCTCCTTGTTACAATGTATACATACAGGTGAAACTCGAATAATTAGAATATCGTGCAAAAGTAATGGCAGTAAGTGCTGCAAAAGGGGCCCAAACCAAGTACTGAGTACATATGCATGCTTGTACTTCTCAGAGGTCCGATATTGTTCTATGTACAATCCTCGTTTTGTTGATTGCATGTAATAATCTACTTTTTTGAGGTTGTGGATTTGGGGTTCTTGGGGTTTTCATGAGCTGTAAGCCATAATCATCACAATTATGACAAATCACGGCTTGAATTATCTTGCTTTGCATGTAATGAGTCTCTCTCATATATTAGTTTCACCGCATAAGTTGCATTAGTGAAATAAATGAACTTTGCACCATATTCTAATTATTTGAGTTTCACCTGTATATATATATATATTCTATAAAGTATGAAAACTCATGTGAATATAACAGTTTTTCTGTTGTTTCATGGTGTTTCTTCATGATGTAGAACAACACTGTAGATACTCAAACATTCACATCCATGTGTAAAATACAGCAAGTGGCACAAGCTACATGGCCTGTTGCAGATTGATTGTCTTTTCGCATCCTTATCCAACTGATGTACCCTGTCCACATTATGACACTGAACCCCTCTGTGGTGTTAATTACAGTTCTCCTCCATGCTGCTATTATTAATGGCCATGGTTTTGAAGCTCATAGAGAGATGTGATGATTGGCTGTCCACAAACGTCTGGCCATACAGTGTGTATGAAATGTCGCGTGTTGCAGTGTCCAGTTAAACATTGACATGATCGGCCGTGTTCCGTGTTCCGTGATCGTTAGTCTGTAAGGACGGCCGTCGGTCTAAAGGCCGCTGTGTGAGAGCGCCATCTCTGTACATCAAACAGGAAACTGAATCATTAGAACAGCACACGGCTCAATAAAACACAAACCGAACAGTCCCCGTACACAGTGACGTCACAAGGGGGGTGCGGCCCGCACCCGGGTGACACCATTGGAGGGGTGACACCAAAATGACTGGCAGTCATTTTGGTGTCACCCCCTCTAAAAAGTAGATTGAGGGA